CCTAAAAAATGGTCACCAATGATTTCAAACCATACATTTATTTTAAATTAGTGTTGAAAATGTCTTTCTCTTTTTAAAATGAGGATTTTCAATTTCCCAGATATGATTATTTCTTAAATTAAAAATACCACGGCGCGGCGGCTAAATGTTCCCTCGTCCGTAAATAATATTCTACTAATAAAGATAGGTGGGGTCAAGATTTTGCATATTTCGGATATCACTTGCAAATTGGTATCTTAATGGTAGATCTGTTGGCAATAAATTTTGCACAGGCGTAAAATGGTTCATCGAGGTTTAGTCTTTTTAAAACTGAAGTTTTACTGATTCCTAAAGCTGAAGATAACCATCATGTACTAACTTGAAGATCATCTGCAACGTGAACCAATTTCATCTTCTTGATCAGGCGTAATGATTCTCGGTCGGCATAAATTATCTCGTTTAGGACGAACCACTTTCGCCTGAATTCCTAAATAGATTCTCAAATGTTTGGTGATTAGGTTGCAGCCTTTTTGGATACCTTCTGAAATATTCCCATTTCGCAGCACGTCCGTTGAAATATTGTTGGCAGTAAATAGTAGATAACCATATCTCTCATTTCTGTATTAGAAAAATTATTGACTCGGCATTTTCTGCTATTTCTTAATTATCTGAAATATTCAATTAAAACATTTTCAAACGTCATAGGTTATGAAAACGAAAATGTTTAGCTGTTAAAATCATTCGTGACTTCCATCTACTACGTTACTATTTTTCGTAATGAATTAAAGAATTATGCAGCTGATTTTTAAAATTCGATTATCTCGAAAACCCTTAAGTTTACAGGTTGTTAAGAAGTATACATTTTTGTTCTTACAATGCCATGCCTTTAATATTTTCTTCCCAAAAGAGCGCTACCTTGATGGGCAAAAAAGTTTAGCGTACATTTATGCCACACATGTGGCTTATGTGGCGCCCTCTAAAAGATACATTAAATTAGATACCAAATTTTGATTTCTCATACCAAAAAACCCCGTTAAAAATTTTTTTGTATAAATGTACAAAAACGTTCGTTATTACGAAAAAATAAGTTTCTTATTATCAATATTTTATTAAGGCAAGTTGGCTCAAATCGTAATATTTTAAAGTCACAAATCTACCATACTTCTATGTACAATTACTTAAGGACCACCCTGTATATCGCTCAATTCAAAAAGTTGTTGAAGTTTCGAAAATCAATCTGATACTGATAATGACATTTCGTTTTTAATGTTCGATGGTCCAACTTTTTTGTTTTTGCTTGTTTCCATAGTTAGAAATTATTGGCCGAACCCTATTGAATTATTATCTGACCTTTTCCCAAGCGTCATCGCAGATTTATTATTTCTCAAATTCTTGCTTTTAAAGTAATCTTTATGCTGGTCTATTCTAACATTTACATTTGTAGCATACTTTGTAAATAAATAAAAAAGTAAAGAAAGTTTGAAATATCCTAATTATTTTACTCATTTCCATTTTATGATTCGTTTTGATATTTGGTGATTATATGTATTTTAACTTCGTACCTTTGCTGCTAGTGTGATTCAAAGAAAAAAATTACCAGAAACCAGTTTTTGTATATATCTTGGTTCTGGTTGATTTAACAACAAAAAAGATTATGTAATAAATTAAACTACACAATTTTCTCTACAAAATGTGTCCCTATATTTTTTTTTTATAAAACTAATCATTTTCACGTACGAAAATTACTATGTTTACCAAGTACGTAACGTGTAAAACAATATGCATTTATTGTATTAAGCCTACCGCTCGGATGCAACAGCTGGAGAATACTGTTTTCTTAGAGTTTATGGCTAAAATAAAAAGGAATTTATACCTCTGAACACTTAAGGCACCAATCATATAATCAGCATACAGGATTAAATTTAATCACTTCATTGCCTCCTACAGAAGCAGCAGCAAGATAACATTCGTTTCGCACGTATCATCAGGTACAGCAATAGATTGGTAACGAAAAACCTATAGGGATGGAAGAAAGACAAAAATAATCTTGTTCCAGCCTCTGCTCCAGAAGTTCCTCTTAAACTAATTTCTTGTAAATGCAAAAAAGGATGTCAGGCAGCATGTGGATGTAGGAAAGCAGGGCTCAACTGTTCTATAATTTGATCAAACTGTGACAATATATGCCTCAAGTATTGGAAGATAGTGATGACGATGAAGACACTGATACGACCTTAGAACGACTGTGTAATGAAATCGATACAGAAAGTAGAGGAGAAGCTACTGCGCCAGAAGAATTGATCCCATACAACTCTGAGACTTCGTTGCCGGACTATCAAAAACATCGATAAAGCTGGCCTCTCTGGGGTATCAAAGCCGAAGAAGTTATTGTAATTTTTATTTATCAACTAATGTGTGGGTTAGGCCTACTGAGGAAACCACAGAGACAAAACGCGCCATATACTGTAATATATTATGGTGGTGTGGAAATGGGTATTACATTTCAGTGCACGTTAATTGGTTTTGTTAGTCTCCTATCTAAAACGGGTCGGTTTTATGAAAAAATTGTTACAACTTATTTTGTAACAAATTTTCTGGTCTTTAATTTGTTACATAACTATTTTTGCTGTAAAAGCAACGAGAAGCGAGAATTTATTACAATATGGCGGCGCCGGCGGCAAAGATACGAGGTGGCAAATAAAATATTTAAAATAAGAAGCTCAAAATACGTAAAGGACCACGCATCCAATATTTGGGATTTTGGTTCCCCGTCGAATTGGTTGCAACCAATTTTTTTCGATAGTATTTGACCTAATAAAAAGTTCTCACGGGCACAACGCCCAAAAAAGCCTCCTAGAAGGTCTGGCAGTCGACGAGAGTTTGGATATATGAAAGATAAGTTATTTCGCACAAGCTGTATCACCATACTTGATTATGATAAACAAGGGTATTTGGGGGCGCTGATTACAAATCCAAGGTCAACTAACCTCTATCATGTCAGATTCAAGGTCATCTCAAGGTCTAATTGTGAAAAAAGCATTAGAAAAATGTGAAACAGTAGGTACATAGGTTTTTGAGGTCACTGAATACGAATATCGGGTTCGCTTAAGCCTACAAGGTCACCTAGCAGTCATTTTTAAGTCATCTAAAGGACAAAGTGAGAAAAAATCTTTTATTAAGAAGAGCACGATAAATTGTTATATACTTGAAAGGCCTTTCATGCTGATATTGAATCTGACTTTTACAGTGACATTGAACTTTACGACAAGGTCAGTGAAGGCTAGACTCTAACCAGTTAATGAGAAATTTTTTTTATAAGATGAGGACATGCATTTACGCATGCGACTCGCCATAGCCATACCTACTAAAACCTCATCTATCACCACCACTGGAAGTAGTTGTGCTGGCCCCAGCTGTAATTCCCGATATCGAATGGAGGTGCCCGGCCAGTTAAGGCAAGGTTGGAATCTGGCCAATTAAGGCAAGGCTGAAGCCCGGCCAGTTAAGGCCAGGCTGATGTCGCTGAATTCAATTCTGAGGTGCGCTTAATCATTGTCAGTTTGGCCTTGAAATGACCTCTAAGTGACATTGTAGGCTTAAGCGATATTCGTATTCAGTGACCTCAAAACCTGTGTAACTACTGTTTCACATTTTTCTAATGGTTTTTCCACAATTTGACCTTGAGATGACATTGAATATTACATGATGGAGGTTAGCTGACCTTGGGTTTGTAATCAGCGCCCCCAAATATCCTTGTTTATCATAATCAAGTATGGTGATACAGCTTGTGCGAAATAACATATCTTTCATATATCCAAACTCTCGTCGACTACCAGACCTTCTAGGAGGCTTTTTTAGGCGATGTGTCCGTGAGAACTTTTTATCAGGGTCATATACTATCGAAAAAAATAGTTGCAACCAATTCGATGGGGAACCAAAATCCCATATATTGGGTGCGTGACCCTTTGCAGAATATCAAAACTTCCGCAAAATTTTCCAGGTAAAGGTAGTTTACAACACTACAAAGAGTTCAGAATAACAAAAGTTTTACTTTGAACTGATCTGGAATTCAATTTTGTCACCTACTAAACTTCTACTAATTTCGATGCCAATTGATAAATTTTATTCATAGCTCTGAATATAGGCTGGTTGGCAGATTGCTGTGACAATTTATCAATAGTTAAATCATTTAGCTGCTTGTCTGGTTTTTAGTTTGAACTGACGTGTCGCTCTCTTCTTCGGGAGTGTACTGGTTCCAATCATTCTATCATAACTCCTCGTTTCACTTTTATGGATTTGTGAAAAGTCTTCCCTGAAATCTATAGAGGGCACTGACAGTGAAGATAGGGTCAGTCTTATTTACTTACTACATTGGTTATTTGTCTTCGTCTCCATTTTGTTATTTCATACATGACAGCAATGTTTCTATACATTTGTGTTAATGTTTTTCTTCCTTTGTTCGATCTCTTAAACAGGAAATGAACATACATCACAGTTTTGGAATAAATCGTTATTGCAGTTCGTCTTGAGAAAATTTGCCCCTATCTTCCTTGAGATGTTATAAACAGTATTCATATTATGTTTTTTTAGAGACGGTCGGTATTATTAGTATTCTGTACAGATTTTGTTCAAAACACTGCAGATAGCAACAGCTCCAGTAAAATCGAGATAATTTCAACCAACAAGAGGCCTTAGAACTACCTCTTCGTACTGATACGACTGATACATAAACATCTACGACCGTAACTCCAGTTTATGAGTTTCTTATGAAAAATGGATCTTTCTAAAAGTCAAAACGACGTGTTAATAAGTACAGAAATTGTGTAACTTTGCGTATGGGCGACTCCCTTGTGAGAACTGATTTAAAAAGAAAATTATTTCAATAATTTTTTCTTTCAGAACCTCCAAGGCACGTTCGATAGTTCCGCAGCATATCCCGACCCGCTACGACGTCAGCCATAGATCTTCTCCACCACCTCAACCCGCTCAACGCAACAGCCAACAACAGCTTCATCAATGAGTCCATGGACGCTTCTGTCTACAACCACAGCCAGCTGGCTCTATTCGGCACTAACAACGCCGACTTCACCACCGACAACCTCTCCGACCCCGAGGTCAATATTACCAGGTCGATCTCCAGGCTGACATCGCCCCTAGCGGTCACGGTGGCCGTTCTGTTGGTGTTCCTTTTCTCACCTATGATCCTCATCGGGAACTCGCTAGTGCTAGTAGCCATGTATCGTTTTAAGAGGCTGAGGACGCCTAGTAACTACTTAGTGATGTCCCTGGCCACCTCGGACTTGGGGATAGGTATGTTCATGCCGGTGGGGATGTACCTAGAACTCGGTGGTGCTCAAAACTTTACCAGTGTGCGCGTTTGTTTGTTCAGCTACGGAGTGGCGATTTCGCTATGTTGTGTGTCCGTGTTGGTGATGGTGGCTATAGCGGTCGATCGGTTCACTTCCCTGGCCAGACCGTTGAGGTATAATAATTTGATAACCCATTCGGCGGTGGAGAGGTACATAGTGGTGTTCTGGGCTTACTCGTCTCTGGTTGGTTTTACGCCGTTGGGGTATGCATTTTTTAATGAAATTGAATATAGGTAAGGCGAATTTATTATTTCAAATTTTGAAAACAAAAACTGTTTACAAGATAATATTTATATACAAGACGTCCCAGAACGGTTGGGATACCGCTAGACTACGACCTAATCGGATCAAAATAAGATGATTTTCCTCCCGATATACAAAAGTCAACACCTACTGAAATATATCCCAAATGTGTTGCCACAAAAAAAAAAAAACATTTTTTGTTACCTCTAAAACTGCTAGACTTCTTGCTTGCGCGTTTGTTTATTCTATTGTAATATATTTCTTGAATATGTGTCAAAATAATACATATCTTATAATTTTTTTAGGGCCTCTTTCTTCTTGAATCTCATAATTGTTTTCTTCGTGTACACAAAACTATTTAATTATCTGATAAAGATGTTTTTAAAGATTTTTTGTCTCTTCTGTAATTTTGGTACAGACTTAGAGTAAAGTAAAAAATATTTCTGCTTTATATGCACTAAAATACAAGGTGTTCGAGAATTCTGTTCTTATATTTGGAAATATTAGACAAAAATTATATAAAAAGGAACATGTTGAACAAAAATCTTTTGGGTCAATATTTAATAAGCAGTAATTTAGAAAAACATTTTAATAACTACAGAGCCTTATAAATGAACAATGATGAATGGTTACGTCTATGCTCGAGATAATGATCACTGATTGGTTGAATAGAATCTACCGAAAAATTACACCAATCACAACCGATGAAACAAAATGTTGTGTTTTAATGTAACAACCTTGATCTTATTGTTCTAATTTTGCCTATATTTAATTGTCAACATGATGAAAATAAAATTACTGTTCCAAATAAAATAACTGGTCACGTGACTTGTAATCGTTTATGAAGGCTCTGCATGTTCATATAAACTTTTTTCTTGTTTTTGTTAATACAATTCCAAATGTAAAAACGAACTTTTCGAACGTATTTTCATCACATTCAGTATAGAAGATATATCAATTCTACTCTTAATCTGTAGGGGATATAAAAATTTCATAAAACAAAAAAATCTTTAGGAAATGATTTTGTATGTAAATTCATCAGTCATTCTCTCATGCATAAAAAACCGCAAAGGGTAGGTATATTGATATAAATAAATAACATGCTGTTTGTATACTCACTCAAATAAACAAAAACGTGTTCTAAATAAGAACTCTTTAGCTGCAACAATTTTGTGCTATTAAAAATGTCGTTTTATGATATCACATGCAGCGGGTTGTTAGTTGGCGTTGACATTTGTATAGATTAGGGTGGCCCAAAAAAAAAAAAACGTATATTTTTTTCGTGTCTTTTGTGAAAATATGTTAGTTTATCATGTTTTAAGAGCCCCCACAAAAAAGCAGCTCAAAAAAATTTTTTTAGAGGTCGCCCAAGATTTTAAAAAATTTCCAAAATCATCAAAAATTAATTTTTTTTTAAATTTTTTTTCTCGTTATTTTATTATTTTTTAGGTTGAAAAAAATCTCGATTCTGAAAATTTCAAATCGATATTTTAATTTCTAAAGGTCACTCATAATTATTTTAACATTAAAAGTAATGTACCTAAAGTGTTTTCGAGTGACCTCTAAAAATAAATATCAACGAACTAATAATTTTTTTATTGAACTTGATGAACAAAAGAATAGAAATAAATCACGAGACACTTAAAAAATTTCTCGAGGCAAAATTTATTACCGCACTGTGAGTATCAAATATTTATAATTTTTTAATTTTTTAAAATTAAGTGTCTCGTGTTTTATTTCTATTCTTTTGTTCATCAAATTCAATAAAAAAATTATTAGTTCGTTGATATTTATTTTTAGAGGTCGCTCGAAAACACTACTTTGAAAGTTAAAATAATTATGAGCGACCTTTAGAAATTAAAATATCGATTTGAAATTTTCAGAATCGAGATTTTTTGCAACCTACAAAATGATAAAATAACGAGAAAAAAAATTAAAAAAGAAATTCAATATTTGACGATTTTGGAAATTTTTAAAAATCTTGAGCGACCTCTTAACAATATTTTTTTTGAGCTGATTTTTTAAGGAGGCTCTTAAAACAACTAACATATTTTTACAAGACACGAAAAAAAATAGTTTTTTTTTTTCGTGTGCCACTCTGGTATAGATAATTTGGTCTAAATCACCTTATTCTAATCCCAGGAGTTTGTGAACGAGCGGTTTCCAACCCTTCTGGGACATCTTGCATAGTGATGTCCAATGATTGAGTCTCAAAGAAGGAAACTGTTAAGTTTGTGTATTTCCAAAAAATTTTTATCTATACTATTATAAAGAGGAAAGATTTGTATTTTTGTTCTATACTAATATTATAAAGAGGAAAGATTTGTATTTTTGTATGTATGTTTGTTACGAATAAACTCAAAAACTACTGGACGGAATTCGATAATTCTTTCACCATGAGAATGCTACATTATCTCTGAGTAAATAGGCTATATTTTTTATATACCAAAATGTTTAAAATAAATGTCCACCCGTGCGAAGCCTGGACGGGCCGCTAGTTCTTTATAAAATTGTGATTAAACTTTTAGACCCAAACCCATAGTGTAGTAATATTACTTTAAAATTTGAGGAAGCTTATGTTGATCTTCATTATGAATTATTTTTAAATTAACATCAAAATTTAATTCTATTATAAAATTGACTTTTAAAACATTACTATTTTCATATAACTAGTATTACGTTTCCGGGTAAATTTAACAAAGAACCTATTCCAGTATTTTGACATATCGAAAAGTGTCACTAAGAAATACGACTGTTCCAATAAACAGGTCGTATAGTGTGCCAATTGATTTTCAAAAAATAATTATTTGATTTCATTTCATTAGTTAGTTATCATTAATCTTTACCATTCTTATTGCTACGTCAGAAACAGATTTACGAAAATTATATTATTATTTAAAGGGTGTTTCAAAAAGCTGTTGAGGGGATTATATAGGACATGGCGCAAGAAAATGTTATATAAACCCTTAGTCGGAAATGAGCCGTTTTGACCCTGGAGCAATTTTTTTCCAAAAACGTAAGGTTGTTGACCCTAAAAGACTTCGATATTTAAGTTGCTTTTATTAAGGATAAAGCAAAAAAAAATAAATATATAATTGTTTAAAACGGCTTGTGGTAGGTTGTTCTTTAATTCGATGCAAAACCTCTTCCTCAATGACCACTGTCCGTGCAGTTCGTGGATATCAACATACTACATCTGGTTTGTTGTCTTTTCTCTTAATCGACGATGAATTAACGAAAATGTTGTTCGGCAAGGATGTCGATGATTCGGAAAACGCTCACCTTCTCTAGCGTTGCATCTTGCTTCGCCATAAATGAGATGCATGTCTCTTCTAACTTAAATAGGTCCATTTCAACAACTTATAGCAAAATTTCATAGCAAACAAAACAATTGTGAAACACTCAATTAGGTACGATCATTTATTACGTGACAGCTCTGTCCATTTGTTTCACTGTTCCTCACAGCGCAGCGTGACACAGATGACATTCCATGACTAGATTAGATGCGTGCAATAGAGCTTTTATCGCACAGTTGTGCATAAAATCAATTTTTACCAACATCGTGTGTAGGACATGCAGTTGGTAAACACTTGTCAGAAGAGATAAACTTGTTTATTTTGTTTCAAATAATTTTTTGCTTTATCCATAATAAAAATTACTTAAACATCAAAGTCTTTTGGGATTAACGAGGTAACATTACGTTTTTAGACAAAAATTTGTCCAGGGCCAAAGCGGCTCCTTTCTGACTAGGGGTTTATATACGAAAATTTTCTACCGCAATGTCTTCTAATTGTAACACTGTAAAATGAAAATATAATCCACTAGTCTTATAGATAATTACGGCAACTAGTAAAATGTTATACTTGCATCGAGCGCGAGGAAGATATTCGAAAGTCCGATTTAACAGAAAATAACTAGTCACATATCTTTCTGGTTCTATAATGAATTGACGTCCGTTCTTATCCACTATTGATATCCACTTACATTATCAAGTATCGGTGTATACGATTGGTATGAACATTTAGAGAGCGCATTGCCAATCATATTTATTAGGTTTTCAATTTAATCAATATAAGTTATAATTTATTAAAATCAATTAATTGATTGATTCAGGAAGAAAGTCATGAACTGTTGCGTAATTTTTGTGTTTCAATATTAAATCGTTACATTTATGTATCGTAAAGTTATTCTGTCTTGAAAAAGTGGAAATTGTAAGTCTTGTTTCCTTGGTATTTTCTGGCGTTAAGTTGTGAGCTGTAATAGCGAGTAGTATTCTGATTGACTAAATAACAATTATTCTAATTACTAATTATCATTGAAACATAAAAATACAGTAAAATTGTATGACCCGGAAGTTCTGTCCTATATCATCTAACTTCAAAGGAACGATGTTATTATTATTACGTGGACTTCACTTTTCCGATATTTTTGGAATTCCTAGAAGTATTTCCTTAGTGACACTTTTCAATATTTCAATAAATTGGAGTATTGTCTCTGTGTCCTGTGTATAAGTATCAAGAAAATAAGTAGTAATATTTTTAAAAGTTTACAAATAAAAAAAGTTTTCCCTCTCTGGGATACAACCATCAGAGGACGCTCTATAGATAAATGTGAACTGGTAATAGGTACTTTTAGAATCTTAATTTGCTGTTTAATCTTTGTTAATGTTTCACAAAAGTTTTATATGAGTATTTTGTATTTTTTATTTAATCGCGTGTTAAAAATACAAAACTAAAGCAAACACTGCCATACTGCCCTGGAGTCATTTATTAACTGTCACTTTGCGCAGCATTTATGAAACGTCTCCCGTCTTTTAAATTACGTAATAATAAAACTATTAAAAAGCTGCAAATCCATTAAAAGCACCTCAGTGCACTTTCCTGTTCTAGCATTTGTTCAGTAACGCGTAAAACTAAATTTTCCTGAAAAGCGACATTAAAAGCGCTTCAAAGGACATTAGGTGTCAGAAAGTTAAATTTAAAAATTCAGA